CCGTGTCCACCACAGTGCCCATGGGAAAGACGCCAGTGCAGCAAAATGCCAAGAAATGCCAAGGCACACCGTAAAAAAGGTTGTATCCCCTTCCACATGTGGATTCACTAACATTCAGGCCAGTCAGGCTCACAGGGCCAAAGTGAAAACCTAACGAGGAGCCAAGCCCACCCCTTCCTGAAACAACTCCAGCTAGAGCCAGCTCACCCAAACCATGCAGATCTGTATGACCCCTATGGCCCTGCCTCCAATCAGGATGGGAATCGAAAAATACACTGGAACAAACCCAATCCTATCCAAGAACATCTACCGTCACAATTATGCATTACTTTTTGTTTATGACCAAACATCCCAATAGAATATATAATAAGGTTTATGGTTGTAAAGCGATATCAAAGGGATATCATTTTAATATCGGTTATACGAGCCTTTGAAACAGCGCCATCTGCTGCCGGTCGTCGTTCCTGCACTGTTTGTGGATCAGCATCATTGCATAGAACTGCTCGAAATGAGGTAACATATCTGTGAATGTTTTTGGACAAAATATCATTTAATTGGTCTCAGAGGACTAGAGAGCTAAAAGCTAACTATTTTATGCTGTGTATTATGCTTCTTGTTTTGTTTTCGACATGTTTTGCTGTTAGTTATTGTTGAATTCTTTTTGTATTTGCCGTGATTTTATGTCCGTGCGTTCGGCTAAGCTAGCAGCTAACTGTACGGCGCAGATTGTTAGCTTTCCACAGGCTCCCTATCCACAACGACTGAATTTCTGTGATATTTTATGTGCAGGTATTTTACTGTGTACAATTTGGGAAAGTTATGCAGATGTTCTGTGATAACTTTGACAGAATTATATTGTTTTGTTGTTCACATGTGTGTTGCGCATGGTATTGGACATAAGAAGAAAAAGGTATAGAAGTCACAGACAACAAAATGATCACAAAGACTGAATTGCTGTGGTATTTTGTGCAGATAATGAACTGCTGTCACAACTAACTGACCCCGGGTGGCTCATTGAGCAGCGAAGAGATATGATCAGACACATTGGTTATGTAATTACCTTTTCGAGGAACTATATGAAAAGTTTGGCCATTCATCTGATGCTTTGGCTGAAAGGGCTCAGTTATGACTGATCTGAAGAACCCTATGTAAAACCTCTATGTTCTTTAAAATCAGCTAGCTTTGTTCAGCCTTTGTGTTGAACACCTTGGACCTTCTAGGCAGTGTGATGCTTTGGTGTTCAACTGTGCGTCACTATCTTTCCTTTAAGCACAGAGAGTCGAAGCCAAGACAGTGCGCTTAAACAAAAGATCAACATGTATTGCCAAGAAGCAGCTGCAGCTTTACACAGCTCTGAGGAAACAGACCTGGTTAAACGCCGAGAAACCAATCTGCGACCCTCTCTACAATGAGTCTGGAAGTAGAGTACTAAAGAAACCCGAGAACCAAACCAAACCAGTTGTTGCATCAGTGCATGAGAAACTTTAAAAAAAAGTACTGACAAAGCCGGACCAGCGCACTATCATTCAATAACAAGCACGTCTTTGAGCTGTGGGGGGAACTACCCAGAGAAAATCCACTCGTTGCATAGATTCAAAGCAGAGACCTTACCACAAATGCACATGTACACCATGTGTAATGTGCATTAGTGTAATGTACACCCCACCACCCTGAGGTCTGTTTAAATCTGTATGCTAGTCACAATGCAAACAAGCAACAGATCTACTTTTTTTATGAAAATGTTGGTAGCACTTTATTTGAAGGGGGGTGAATAAGACTGTCATGACACTGTCATAAACATGACATAACATGTCATGAACATGAATAAGCCTTCATGAATATTTATGACTGTTGTCATAAAGCGTCATTCGGTAAATTATGACACTTAATACAAAGTTGACATTATTCAAAATGTCTTTATGACAACTTGACATTAAACAAGAAATCATTACTGTTTAAACTTTACCTTTAATAACATAAAGTTACCTCATTTTTAAAGTGCAATCAGTAATACTTTTATAAAAAATTATATCAGTAATGATTTCTTGGTTAATGTCAAGTTGTCATAAAGACATTTTGAATAATGTCAACTTTGTATTAAAAGTGTCATAATTTACTGAATGACTCTTTATGACAACAGTCATAAATATTCATGAAGGCTTATTCATGATCATGACAGGTTTTTATGACGGTGTCATGTCAGTCTTATTCACCCCCCTTCAAATAAAGTGTTACCAAAATGTTTTCATCTGTTATTCTCCATCTAAATCACATTCTATTTTTGATGCCATTTTAATGACTATCTCATTTAAATCAGCCATTTAAGTGAGTGTGTAAAATTCCCAGTTGATGTCGGGTTGCTGCAACCTGACATCAACTTATGATTTAGTTCTGAAAAACCAACGTTAAATCCGATGGCATCTGCGACGAATAAATAGCTTCTTTTGTCATTATTATCTTTTTGATGCTCTCTTGTAGATCTGTTGATGAAAAGTTAGTTCATTTCTGCCAGTGGTGCCATAACTTTCAGTAAGTCGTGCTGCCATGCATCAATTCTGCTCAGTGCAGGAGGAGAAATGAGCCCGTTTTGAGATTTTAGTAATGCTGCCATCTGGTGGGCATTTTGTGGTACTGAAGACTAGTTTCTTAAACTTGATTAGATATAGGAAAACAAAGCAAATTGTAGCTGTGTGTCTGTATCTGCTGAATTTTTGTTTGCAACATATTAGTTCTTCAATCAGCGAAGTTGTTCGCAGTGGGTAGAGTATTCAGAAATTTTACTTGAGTAAGAGTAAAGTTTACTGGAGTAAATTTCCTCCAGCAGGAGATATCCTCCCACTGGAGCAAAGGTTTACTTTGGGTTTTGTATTCCTACAAATTGTAGGGTTTTTCTCTGGGTACTCAGGTGAATGCCTGGTTTTTTTTTCTAAGTATTCCAGTACATAACTTGTCTTTTCTGGGTTCTATGGTAAATACCCAAGTTCAGTGCATGCCTAGAGTTTTTTTAGGAGAATTCTGATAAATCCATATTTTTCCCTAGAGGTATTCCAGTGTCATCCCATTGTCCAAAGCAAATTATTTTACAGGAAAATGCATTTTAAATTGAGAATGGGAATGTGTGCGCCATGTTTAAATGTCTCTGTGATGAAACAGCTTGTACTTGAAGTCTTGCCTCTTGACAAATGCCATAGCCTGTAGGTGTCCAGCAATAATCCTGAACAGAACAAGGATGATATGAACAATTTTGTACTTTCTATGGGTTTTTGAATAGTGTTTTAGCAGAATAAAACTCATTGTGGTTGGGCTTGTTTGGGTTAAAAATCAGAAGTTCACTTGTGCCAAATGAAAAAAAGGGCAGCATAAAATATTTTGTATTGAATGTAAATTTTCTGCTACTGTTGATGAGATCTAATGTTTTTCTTGGTATTGTAAAATATTAAACGTAGCTAAATTACAGCTACATTTGTAAAACAAACAAAAAAGCAAACAAAAAAAAGATAAACTCTCTCAAACTATTCTTCCATGGTAATAAGCTTAAAACTTAAGAGCAAAGACTTTAGACATAGTATTTATTTCAGTTTTAAAAGTTTATAACAACTTCTGAGTAACATAAAACAGAATAAAACAGACAAATGCACATCTCTAATCAAACCTGCAGGTTGACAAAATTAGAATTTGTAAAAGCAGTTATGAAAAAAACAAACAAAAAAAAACAATAAAAGTCACAGAAAAATGATTTCTCCCCCCTGCCTAAAACAGCTTTCGCCGAGTTACATCACATCAGGAGAGCTTCCACCTGATAAGAGAGGTGCATTTAAATGTACAGACACTGAAACCTGCGTTTCGAGGTTTAAATTCAAGCCAGCGTTAAGTGGGTTAAAACCCGAATCTCTGGAGCTCTTTTCACAGATAGGTCCAGCACCTGGAAATATTAGAAAAAACATGTAGCATTTCCTAATTCACTAGTCGCAATTTTAATTAAATGGTATTTGCACAAATAATTTGTAACATCACACTAGCTACAAGCAACACCATTAATCGAACCAGCATTTATTCAGTTCGCAAATTAATAAGTGATTGGGATTTGATAAGGAGTCAGAGAAACTGGTACATTGTGTAAGAAATGGCTCTATTAATAATGTGCTTTGTTGATTTTTTGGCAGTTCTGAGGTTAAAACAGGCGTAAAATTCCCCCACTGCCAAAAAAAAAAAAAAGAGTAAAAATGGATATTTATATGTTTCTTTTCTCAAATATAAATTTATTATATATAAAATGCTGTTCCATTCATAAAAGCCTTACTTTGTACAATATCTGAGTGAGCAATAAAAGTAAAAGTTGTGTGTGGGTGTGTGTGTGTGACCAACAAAAAACAAACAACCTGGAAAATTGTCGCAACAAACAGCTGGTACAGCTTCAGGCCTAATATGATAAAAAAAAAAAAGAAGAAAGAAGGTGTTTTACAGAATATACACATTTTATTACTTACAAAAATAAAAAGGAAGAGCACTAAGGTGTAGACTGGAGGTTAGTAGGTGGGATACAGCAGGGTTAGTTTCATGAAATGGGATGTAAATCGGCAGAATAATGACAGATAGTGACTAATGACGTTTCTGTTTTTTTTTTGTTTTTGTTTTTGTTTTTTTTTAAAGAGAAAAAAAACAGTCGGTCTCAGTGAAGAAAAGCTCATCAGTGCATCTCTCATCCTGGATGTTCGAAAGTCAAAGTGCTGATTTGGTAACCATCGGAGACCATCAGTAAGACCAAAAAAAAAGAAAAAAAAGAAAAAAGGAGTAGAAAGAAATAGATGTTTTGTGATGTTTCCAAAAAAGGGGGAAAAAAGTAGTCCTTAAATAGGGGGACAAAAAGGCTGAAAAAAAATTCACTTTTGTTGTCATACATCCATCATGGCACCATCAAGCAGTTATTTGTCAGCTTTCATTTTGAGGTACTTCTTAAGAAAAACAAACACTAAATGTAAGAATATTTGTCAGTTTTTTTAAACTCATATAAGCTGTGTTGCACAGTAGCACCATTGTTTCATTATTTTCTGATTTTCTGTATTTTTTTTCTTTTTTTCTTTTTCCCCGGAAGTCAATGCACCATTGGAATTCCACCTTGTTGCCACCTTGACAGTTCACCGGACCCTCGCTTGTTCATCCAAATGTGTCTTGTTGTGGATGGGGCGTCCCCTCCGCCGCCGCTGGTAGCGCTCGCTCGCCTCGTGGTATTACGTTGTCTTCATGCAAACCACACAGCGGCTAACACGTGTAAGTAGGTTGCCTGCCTTTAAAGTCTCTGACTGGGGTTTCCTGTAGGGTGGTTGAGAAAGAAGACAAATACAGTTTTTAAACTTAAAAAATATATAATTATACATTTGTACAAAAAAAATGCTTTGGTAATATTTTTCATAGGAATTATGGGACCAGTGATTAAAAAATATATTATGTTTACATTAAACATACTTGACAGTTAATTTTTTTGTCTGTGACATGCTACTGTATTATGAAAATCTTTTATCTTTAAGCTTTCCAAAGTGTTTTTCTTTTGCACATCTTTTGCCAGAGAACCAATTAAGTTCACTTCTACCCACTCCTTTGAACATTTATTCCTTATTATATTTCTTTGCTTAATTAAGAGTAAAATAATGTAATTACTTGTAATTTAGAAGGTTCAGTAACCCTTGAAAATACAAATTTCAAATTAGTGCAGCCAATGCTAACAATTTTAGTGCAGCAAGCATTTTTTGCACAGGTTGCATGAAACATCCCACGAAAATGAGAACTCCCCCCCCAACCCCTCACAAAAACCACAGAAAATATGAGAATAAATAGTCCTGCCATAACAAAACTTAAGACATGTAATTAACATATTTAAGGCTATACAATATTTCCAGGGATGAATTTTAGACAAATGAATTGAAGACTTTTTAAGGATGTGCCGAACACCCAGTTTAATAACCCCTATAATCATCAAATCACCCAAGTTGGGTTTGTGAAAACTTACTTGAACATGTCAAGTTTCTCCACAGTAGCCAGCCAGAAGCTGTAGGAGTTGCTGAAGTAGTTACACGACCCTCTGCCATGGCACTCTATGAAGGGCGTGCTGCGGAAGTCCTCCAGGCAGGAGCCGGGAGAGGCCAGGGCCTGACCGGAGCCCTCGGCACCTGCGCTAGTGTGCTGGGAGAGAGAGAGAGGAACAGAGTTCTAGTTGTTCATCTGAGACCTGCACACAGGAACAATGTTGATTTAAAACTCAAATCAGTGCCTATGGCAGGCATTCATAAAACAGACCATTACAAAAATAATGACAGTTAAATAAAAATATGTCTAAACTGTGACTGTGTAAAAATTAATAATATTCATGCCAAAGACAAAAGAGAAATTCTACATCCACTAAAATCTGATGCCTCTCCATTTTTCTTTACACTTCGTGAATAAGGAATTTGCGCTCATATCTTCTTCTGAGGTTTTGTGTCGTCTCCTTCAGTGGTTCTTGGTGCAGCGCCACCACAGGCGAAGGAGTGAACAGGTTTTTCAGTTGGTTTAGATTGTTTAACAGCGCAGTGTGAAAGCGAACCAAGCCAGCTGAAAATGTAAACAAATGTTGCTGTTTTTCTCCCCAATCAAACTGAGCCTACTCAGTGTATTATAAGCCTGGCGGGCCACCAGACTTGGGTCCCTGCGAGGCTAAGCATTGCTTATTTATTTTAGTTTTTTTTAAATGTTTGCATTTTTTTGTTTTTAAGATTTTATAGTTGGTATTCATGCATTCGTCTTCCAACAACATATAGTTTATTAAGTGATATTTTGAAATTTCCTATCAAATTTCAACATTTTTTAACTCAAAAACACGGCAGGCCGCTGAATGAATGACTGACCTAGCACCCCAACCACGGGGCTTAGCAAGTTTTCTGGGGGAAACCCTGCTACTGGAATATCAGGTGTGTGAATGAAAACTCCCTAAAAAGCCAAGCATGTGTCCAAACGCCACCCTACCATCATGAAGGAGTATCCGATCCACAGGGATCTCCAGTTTGCGGGACAAGAGGGAATCTGGATGGTCTGGCTGTGGATTGCAATCACCATGGCTGGAGCTTCACACACAGCACACCTGAAAACACACAAAAACACCTTTTTGATTTTTTTTTACACACATAAAGCCACCGTTTAAAGCCAAACAACACCCATCCTTCCATGCCTACCTGCTGATGTACGGCTTGATGCTCTCTCCAGTCACAGCCTCCATGGACATAGGCATGGGCTCCAAAGTTGACAGCCAGTAGGAGTAGTCGTTACGGGCAGCGAAGTTGCAGACGTTGTTGATGTTGCAGAACATGAAAGGCATGGGGCTGAACCGGCGCAGACAGCTGCCGGCGGTGCCTGCGTTGCAAGCAGTGGGTAAGGAGTTTTAGTTGGGTGAAACGTTGGAGAAGAATAACCGTTGAATCAAACAGAAAGTGCTTCGTCGTACCAAGGTCCTGTCCATGAGCCCTCTCGTTGCCTTGCACGTACAACAGGGAGTATCCGTCGTAGATGAAGTTGGTTCCGGAAGGACACTCTGGTGTTGTTTCGCTCTGGCTGTGTCGGGTGAGGAGGAAGCCATGGGCTGCTGACCCTGAGCCCGGAAGACCCGGCGGACCCTGTGGACCATCTGACCCAGGTGGGCCAGGGTTGCCCTTTAGGCCTGGTTGAAGAGAAAAGAACACATGCATTATACATCATATGTAGATTCCATGTGCATTATGATCAGCAAAATGAAAAGAAAAACATAGTTAAAGATTACTTTATTTATTTGTTTTTTTATTGCATTACTCACCAGATTGCCCTGGGGGTCCGGTGTCTCCCTTCCTGCCAGGTGGGCCGTTGAAGCCTGGGGGACCAGGTGAGCCGGGATCTCCAGAGGGGCCTGGTAGACCTGGAAGAAGGGAGGGGAAAAAAACACTTCAGTTTTAAACTTAGCTCTCAGATCGGTCATTAGCAGGGGTGAAGCAGAACGTTGTGGCAAAAATGAAGCTCTAAGATTTCTTGAGCTGGTCGAAATGGTGTCTGCTTTAAAATCAAATCCTTGTGTGTCCACTATTGAGACTCTTATTTTGAAGTCAGAAAGGAAGTAGTTCTTGAGTTGCTCTGTGGAGTTGACAGATTTGTAACAAATTCAAATTCCTTTTAAGTCATATAGAGTTTTTTATAACAGCTGGAGGTTGGGCTATAAATTGGAAAATACATAAAACTGCCCATTTAAATCCTTGTACTTTTGTGCTGACAAAAAAAATTATTTTCTTTTTTTTGTGATATAATTTACAGTTTATCATAATCCCTCAAATACAGATTTGGTCATTAATCTTAATTGAAAAAAAAAATCTTACTGGCAAATTTGAAGACATTTTTTTGTTTTCTGTTGCGAATTTATTTTTATGATCTAATTAATAGAAAAAGCTTAATTTTAGCATATTTTCTTATATTTTCCTCCAGTCTGGTGCATTATGTGAAAATAAAATAGAGCAAACAGCACAACACAAACCCACACAGCACAAGAGTAACTCACACATCCAACATGCAGCAACTAAAATCAGGCTGAATAACACCTAATTCATCATCGCCCGTCACCAAAGTGCTGCTCTACCCACCTGAGGATCCAGGGGCTCCAGGCGGACCAGGTGGGCCTGTAGCACCCGGGTTTCCTGGTGGACCCGGAGGTCCTTGCTCTCCTTTCACATAATCAATAGGTGAAGACCCAGGATCTCCAGGAGGGCCTGTGTAGAAATAGTTCATAAGATGATGACCCATTAGCTTTAATATTCAGCTTGCATGTAGCTCAGGTCGCCGTCCACCCACCAGGTGCTCCATCGGCCCCAGGATCTCCAGGAAGTCCACTGGGACCAGGAAGTCCTGGCTCTCCCTTTGGTCCTGATGAAGACGAAAGAAACAAGAATTCCTGTTTTTATATAAAGTCAACACAGAAAGCCTGACGTCCAGTTTTGTAGCATCAGAAAGCAGCCAAAAGGAGTTGGCGTAAACTAACCTGAGAACCCGGAAACGCCTGGAAATCCTCTATCTCCCTTTGGACCAGGGCCACCAGGACCACCAGAGGGGCCCTTGTAAAAAAAAAAAAAAGAAAAAAATGTTTCCAGCTTGACAACAGTATCTGTGACTTTTACTATTTTAGCGTAGCTATTTCAAAAACGGGAACTTACTGGTGCTCCTGGAAAACCAGGATCTCCTTTTTGACCAGGCTGGCCGGGCAGACCCGGATTTCCGGAATTCCCCTTCTCTCCCTTAACGCCGCCACTTCCTGGGAGACCGCGGGGACCCTCTGGCCCAGGCACACCTACAGATGCCGAGGACAAGAGGTCAGCCATGGTCTTTATTTGATTGAAACAGAAAAATACGACATCTTTTTCTTGACAAATTTAAAGGGTGCTACTGCATAACGGTAGTGTATTTTGGGTTCACCTACTCTCTATGTTGTCTACGATTTCTAAATGAACTAAAGTACTTCCAAAGTACCAATCTTCATTAGTGCAAACTGAGTGTCTGCATGGTGTGGCATGAATGAAATAATTATATTTTATTGTTATTGCTGCAGTAAATTGAGTTTCATCTAAAAAATAACCTCTTGCTTTGATGGAGAGTAAATCTCAGTTGTAGTATTTACTTAAAATGTTGTGTCTTTGTATACAATGGATATGCAAAGTCAATTTCCAATAGTCTAGAAAGCCCACAAAATCCTTTAGTTACAGTCAAGTAGTTGTTTTGGCTTACCTGAATGTCCCTAATTTGTTACTTACTTACAGTACAGATTATTATTATGCTTAAGTTTAGGATTTTATTGATAGGAACAAAATCTACAGACCCATTAGAGTCCTATAAGGAACATCGTCTCAATTAGAAACTGTAAATCTACATAATAAGACTTTTTGTTTCACGTCACACTGTTATGACCTGGATTGCAAAAAATCAAATTTAATCTCTAGAAATGATAAACAACTGAACAATATTCACATACTCTAAGTGTCGACATATATTTCTTGTTAGTTCTTTTTTTTTTCTTTACCATCAATCTGCCTATGAGAAAACACATAAATCAGCTTTATGACAACATGACGTGCTCACATTAAAAAAAGTCCACGTGTTTGCAGTGTCTCAATAAATAAATTTTTTTGTTTACCTTTTGTTATTTGTATTTGTGCTACCTATATTCTTGCAGTCAAAACAATGTTTTGAAAAAAATATGTCAAAATATTTCATATCATAGAAAGAAAACTTTTCAGAGTCGAAAGATGACCGGGCTATGATAAACAGAATAATGTGATCAGTTGTGAATTAGAGTCTTTTTTTTGTTTAAGTAGTCTTGCTTGAAATGTTCATTTGGTCCTGTAGAATGAAAAAGGGGTTATGAAATGATGAATGACTCCATAATCCATTCATCTCAGCTAGGAAAAAGCGCCATCAAAGTGTCGTATCTCATTTAAAGAACTTGAATGTTTCTCAGACTGCTAAAGCAAACTGGAATGCATGATGAAAGCCACCGAGCCAACCACACAGCTGCTTCCATTAATGTTTCACCCAATGTTATAGTCGTAGGCTGACGTGACAATGTTTAATCCAAACCAAGAATCCGGTGGGTCTAACCTGGAGGACCTAGGATTCCCAGAATTCCCAGGCAAACCGATACCAGGATGCCGCAGGGCAAAAAAACGAAGAAGAAGAAGAAGAAGAAGAAGAAGAGGTGGTTTAGACAGATAAAACTGTAACAGCAGGAATATTCAAGAAGTAACAGTTGAGATTCTGGAAAGCACTCTGTTGTAAAAAAAAAAAAAAAACTTAAAGCAAATGCATTACATTTAAATAAATAAAAAGTAAATAATTAATCCAATGATTAATGATAGAGGTTTTGTGAATTATACAGAAATCACAACAAAGAAGAATGACGTAAAGTCCTTGGTGAGTTAGTCACATGGTGAATGCTTGTGGCGAGTGATTCAGTGAACTTGATTTAATTTGACAGACCATGTGATCTGGTGACGTATTTTCGGTGACCCACTCTACTCAGAAGAGACATTTACAATCTATCATCACTGTCACTGTTTTTCTAAATGTGCTTACTTGTTAAACGTGGACTACCCTACCATCAGTGTGCATGAAAAACGAGAGAAAGGCGTTATTAGGAAGAAAATAAAAAACAAAAAACGATTCAGAGTTTTCAGTTGATTTTGTTTCCATCACAGTGCATCAGGGTGATATTAAACACAAGTGTTGCTGCAGGAGACGTGCAAGAAAAGTCCGGATGCCGTTCATCTGACCTGCGGGCCCTTCGAAGCCGGACGCAAAAGTTGCCGCGTGGAGAGGCGGGGTGGGGAGGGACCACGCCATGGTGGGCGGGGCCAAACCGCAGGAAACATGGGGTAAGATCTCATAGCATCACATTTTTATACTGACATTTGATTTCCTTCTGACCTCACACAGTGACGGAGTTTGGTGGAAATGATATCGCAGCTTTACGTATATATGTCTGTAGGGTAATGAATTTTATATGAACTGAAAAACGTCAATGACATTGTTGTTGGTAGCAAACTTAAACTGCTGACGTATGAGCAAAGGAAGAGATCAAAATCTCATTTCCCTCTTTGCTAGTTTGTAGACACATCAAAAATGGAATATAAGACATTACAAATTCTTAAGTTTGAATTGTCACATGAAGAAGCCGCTTAATTCTGTGGGCATTTTAAATGTGAAGTGACTTTTACACGATTTATATTCAGTGGAGTTTCCACTCTGTCCAGCACTGTGTGAGGTCTGGTGTTGAACAAGTCTCCATGCAGGTGGCTTGATTGGTGGGACAAAATCCCAGTCAGGACAGTGAAGCCAGTCACAAACTCAAAAATAGTCTTGCTCAGATTCAGGGTTTATTTATTGATCGAGGTGCACCGACTCCAAGTAGAGATTTCTCACCTGCTAAATTTAACTACTCTTTTAATGTAATACATGAATTTTATATGCATCTAAATTTAAGTGGTGCCTGTGAAAATAGCAATTTTTAATTAAAAAAAAAACATTTCTGAAAAACAGTATCAGGTTTCTGTCTCCTTTTGTCACTGAAATTTAAAACTGTAGGTTTTTAAAATTAACTGCCAAAATCTTCAGCTTCATTGAATAGAAAAGGGCCTAGCTGGGCCTTCTGGATGCTTATCAGATAATTTACATTCATGTTTGCTACATTTACAGCTTGAATATTATAACCATCAAATTACTAAACATGTACATTTGTCTAGTGACAATATGAATAAAAAACACTTGTACTATGTGCTACTGAATTATCTTGAGTAGCCATTAAATAATTTTCTGAACTTTTACATGTTGATGTTTTTGAAGTTTGGTTCGGTGGACTGTTTTCAGTAAACTGTCATTTCACAGCGAAAGTTATTTGAAAAGTGAAACAATTTGGCAAAAAGCTAACAGCTGGTAACCTTGGTTTTGGTCAATTTTGAAATTTCAATAAACTCTTCCTGAAAATATTTCTGTCTGTCAAACACAACACTGGTAATGGATATTAACTGTACAAACTTATGCTGAGTTTGCTGCTGTTGTCTTAGTCGCCAACAATTATTAATGAAAGTTACAATGCAGCTACCAAATGTGACCTTTATGTTTGCTGATAGTGAGTAACCCTCTGTTTTCTTTGGATCAAAGATAGTTTGTTCCTCTGCTTTTTTCCCCCAGGTCTTCTACTTGTTTGGATATCATCCTGATTAGCTTAGCCGATTAGCTGATTGAAACCAGTGTTGTTTTGCATAGCAACATTGGCATTAGTAGGCTAAGAGAAAGGCTAAATAATGCTAATGTGGCATTGCATTAACATTTATATAAACATTTCCATTTTGAGTTGTTTTAAATAACTAAACTTTGCTACTCCAGTGCTTGCTCAGCTAAATGTTAGCCTTTCATGACTCTTAAGGATTTATTTGATCTCCACTGAAACAACATTTCAGTGGAGATCACATTTGTTAATACATGCTGTAAATGAAGCAATTACTTCACAGGACATGGCTTCAAAATATTCCAAAAATACTTCGGTGGTGTTTGGAGCACATCTCGGTTATTAGCATCTTAGCGGTGAGCCACAGCTCTTCTGACAACCAGTCACAGATATTACAACAGTCTGGCTAGCTGATGTTGTTTGATCTGTCAGACCTTCTGTCAGTGACAGAAATTGTCATCCGCTGAACAAATGGTGCGTTCTCATTTATAATTGTGATATGCTAAATGTGACACAATAACTCAAAAAAAAAAAAAAAAGCCTGTTTGATCAAAAATCAAACAGCGTTATGAGAATATTTTGAGTTTGTCTGTGGCTTAGGTGATTAAATCCAATTGACAAATGCCTACAGGAACCACACACACTCAGGCTGTGTAAAGTTGGGACACACACACAAGTCACTCGTAGCTCAGGACTGTGGAGAGATGAGGAGCTCACACCAGGCCTCAAGATGGGATCAAAGAGAGCGGGAAACATGGGTGAGGAAACGTGTGGGTGGATGAGCTGGGTGAAGAGGAAACACGAGATGGCGACTCGGCCACTACATTGTGAACGTAGTGTTTCGGCACGAAGAGAAATCCCGGTGAAGAGTGTGGCGGGGTGTAAGAGGAGGGAAGAATCCCAACATGCTCTGGTGTCAAGTTGAAAACCTGGTGCTCAGAATGGAACTCAGCAGGGGCCCGGCTCTCTGGCCGGCGGTGCTGATTGGTGAAACAATGACCCATGCAAATCAACCAACACGGTGACGACAGACTATATTCAACGTGGAGCTTCTGCCTGGTTCTCTGAGATACAGACAACTGGACCGTGTCATTGCTCAAGATTTATATGTATGAAATCATTTTCGCAGAAAAGGTGGTTACCTTTATGCTTGGTTAAGCATACATTTAGAATGTCTTAGCTTTAGCTTGGGTTTTAGCTTAGATGTTGTAGCTTTATTGACTTCTGCCATCTGACATCAGAAAACCAGGCAGGAACATCCAACCAACCATGTGGTGATAAGTGCCACCCAAGTCCTTTACCTGATCTTCCAGGCGGCCCGGGAGGTCCTTGATTTCCTTTAGGGCCCTGGAATGGCAGTCCCGGAGGACCTGGAGGGCCACTGACACCTGGAGAACCTGGTGGACCTGGAAAGCCGGTGTCCCCTTTTGGGCCAGGAAATCCTGGGCCTCCAGTAGGACCAGGAAGGCCTGGGTTTCCTTTTTCACCTTCACAGGAAGTACCAGTGATTGTAGAGAACTGTGGCACAACATTTAAGGCTAAAATACAGTATGATGGGAAATAAGTTACCTGGCGACCCTGGAATCCCAGGAGGACCTGGAACACCAAAGCCAGGAATTCCTGGAGTAGACACAAACAATGAACTGAGCCAGGCAGAACATTTCCAAAAGATGTTCAGTGGGCATCCGGACCGTACGAACTGTCACCTACCTGGTTCTCCTTTGATACCGGCTGGTCCTGGGATCCCATCTCTTCCCGGCTGACCCTTCTCCCCGACCTGTCCTGGTGGTCCTGATCGACCAGACTCTCCTGGTCTACCTGGAGCTCCTGTGAGACCAGGGGCACCAGGCAGACCATCAAGACCCTTTGGACCGGGGAAACCAGGAGGACCTACCAAGAGACGACAAGTTAGTTTGTTCCACTACATTAGAGATTTACTGAGAGTACCAAAATAAAATTACTCACCTTGGAATCCTGCGAGGCCTACATCTCCTTTAACCCCCGGTAGCCCTGGTAAACCAGGAAGACCAGGTGTTCCCGGACCTCCTTTAGCTCCAGGACTTCCTGGGAATCCGGGCTGACCTGGATCTCCCTTTTGAGAGAATTGACTAGATCTGTCATCCCTGAACATGTCGTGAAACAAGGACTGAAAACACTTCTTTCTGTCACCTTTTGTCCCTGTGGTCCAGGTGGTCCAACACCACCAGAACCTGGGTCACCTTTTGGTCCTTGGAGACCAGGTATTCCTGGCTGACCTGGGGATCCTGGCCTACCTTGAAAACCTGGTGAGCCTTTTGACCCCATAGGTCCTGTTGAGTCATAGAGAAAAGATTAACATCGACATCGGTGAGTCAAATGTTCAAGTGCAGAAAACTTTTTATACTAAATTGCTATGACTTAGTTTTATTCTTAACATAAAACTACAAAGTTTTAATATAGTCAGTGTGTCAAAAATGTTGTCATTAAATGGCATCAACAGTGTTTTTGAAAGTCATGGTGAAAAGACAGTTCACACAGACAGAGAACGCAAACTTATTGCGCAGAAATGCAAAAGAAAAAATCCTCCATGTTCCTTAGTGGCCTCCATACTCATTAAATACTGACAGTGTGAAATATGTATTATATTGAAACAGTTTCAGAACCATGCAAAACTGGGTCCTTTTTCAACATATCCTAATACAAAAATGTATAAATGAAAAGGGGTGTATGTCTTTTTCCCATTAATATCGATGTGTTTAACACCAATTTAAAAATATACAGACGGTACTAGCAAAGGTAGGCAAACATCTGACAATTAACAGCTCACCCACCTGGAATTCCCATATCGCCCATTCCGCCTTTTGGACCTGGAGATCCAGGACCACCAGGACTCCCTGGGATACCAGGTTCTCCCTTTAGCCCTGCACAAAATAAAGTCATTAACTTTCAGCCAAAACCCATTCCATCCATTCATGACATAACCCCTTACCTGGCGGACCAGGAATGCCAGGGCGTCCATCTTGTCCAGGCAATCCAGGGTCACCAGGGAGACCTGCAATGCCTTTGGGTCCGGGAAAGCCTGGTGATCCTAAACACAAGGGGAATTTCTTATTAATGTATCTTTATGCTGAGAGTTACTGGAAATTTAGAGATAGCACCATAACTGAGGTGATGTTTGAATGTTTTCTATTGTACCTGGAGTTCCAGGATCTCCTTTAGCTCCTCTTATATCTACTGGCCCAATGGGTCCTGGGAGTCCCGGGGAACCTGAGTCTCCCTTTTCTCCTTTAGAACCAGGTCCACCTGGGATGCCGTTACTGCCTGGAAATCCTGGTTCACCTGTGGCACAGAAACATAGGAACCTAGAGATTGTGTGCTTCAAAGTACTTTGACCTTTACTTATTTATTAATAAATGTTTTAAATCTTAAACTGGGACTGGTGAAATGTAGTTTGGACTTATTAAAATACTTAAAATATCCCTTTAATTTAAAAGCTGATGGGAAACTCAAAAGCAGATAGTAACTTTGGTGGCCAACAAGCTAGTTTGTTTAAACTCAAAGATGGCTTGTGTGTAAATACCTTTAAGACCAGGTGCACCAGGTCCTCCCGGAGTGCCAGGTCCTCCAGATGGTCCTGGAGGTCCCATTGGACCCATGTCACCTTTTGGACCTGCAGCGCCCAAAGAGAGAGCAGATGACGTATGTAAGGAGAAATCATAAACTGAAAAGTCTATGATGTTAATAAAACTAGCAGCTTAGCTACCCATTCAGCGATTAAAATGCTAGATAGATTTTTGCGTCAATGCATTTAATGAACAGGAGAAAAAAAATTATTCAGCATTTGACCAACTGATTAGATCAAAAGATCAACAGATATTTGGAAAGGTCAACTAAGTGATGCCTCACAACATGCTATATACCAGACAGTAAAGAATACTCTGCCTTTATTCAAGGGTACAGATAACATTATTTTACCTGGAAATCCAGGTGCGCCGTCCCTTCCAGGTCCTCCAGGGGGTCCTGGGATTCCTATTGGTCCAGGGGGGCCAGGAAAACCAGGATTCCCTCTGTCACCTGGTAACCCTGGGATGTCTAAGCCTGGTGGACCTGGGTCTCCTTTCTCTCCATTTGCTCCTGGGTATCCTGTAAGGATGATCGTTTAAATCAGCATAGAGACACGTGAACCTCCTCCACCTCTGATTTGAATTGAAGCCAAGTCTTTTTAGCAATTCTTTCCTTGAGAAACCATTTTTAGCCTTGAGATACTGAAGTAAAACCACGGAGAAGGCAGTAAGGTTATTTATTTCGTAAATATTGCAAATGTCACATTTTTCGAAGCCCTATTCATGATCCAAATAACCTACTGAGGTGTATGGAGCTAAATTGGGGCCATAAAGTTTGGTCAAATGGGAAAAAAAAATTAAACTGAAAAAAGAAAAAGTTCAAAACTACTTTTCAGATTCAAGGGTTTTGTTTTCAGTTTTAGATTTTTTGTTTTAGTTTCAAGGCTTTGGTATGTGTATTTTCAGTTTAATTATTTTTCTTTTTAGTTTAAATTTAGTTTCTGTTTCAAACTTTTCGGGAATGAATATTTGTTTTTACAACTCCAAACTTTTTTCAAATTCAAAATAATCTTTCAGTTTCAAATCTCTTTTTTTTAAGTTTCAATTTTTTTTTCTTTTGAACAAACTTTATGGTCTGTAGAGATGATATGCTGTGTGTCGAAGTTTAGTAAGTGAATCCTAAAGAAAAGTTCAACCTTGTATGAATTACTTCACGAAATTATTAAACATTCCCAGGATCCCTGGCAGGATCAGTCACCGCAAAGAGGCTGATTTTCCCTCATTATGAGCCAGACAAACATAAATTAAAGGAAAGGAAAGATGCAAGAGTCTGTTTGAAACCGTCAATGAAGAAAATATGTCACATTTCAAATTTCATTAGAATTTTAAAAAGACTTAAATAAGCAACGCTTAACCAGGTTGGGTCACAAGTAAAGCCTGGTGGCCCGCCAGGCTTATGATACACTTGAGGTAACCCTGTGTATTATATTAGCCTGTGAGTACAATTTTGACAATTTGTGGATTACAGAAAATCCATTTTAAAAACATACTTGTGCACCAAATTTTTGTCATTAATATGTATTGAAATTGTATTTTGTATATTATCACCTTCCTAAAATTTTGGCCTTAGTCGTTTTTTTTGCAAAAAGTGAGATACCTTTTGGCAAAAAAGGACATAGGTCATTATTTTAGGAAGGTGACGACATAATCAATCAACACCAAAAAGAATTAACAGTCAACTGTTCAAATATGACAATATGACATTCATGCCAGTGAAGAATGTATATAAACTAAAGTTCAGGTCTAAACTGCTAACAAAAACTGTATTAGCATGGATTGTCTGGCAGCAACTGCATATTGAAAGCAATTAACGCTTAAGAACTTCCTTTTTACTGTTAAAGTTGGCTGTACATTGAAAAAGGAGAGAGACAAAAGGTCGTGCTGGTGCAAAAGCAGGTACTCTGACACGCTCTGGTGTTAGTTCTTGCTTGGTGTGCTCTTGCGGAAATCGCAGTATGTGACGTTAAGAGTGGTCGGGCATGAAAAGCGCATCTCTGTGATATGGCGTTGTGCCAACTGCATTCGCATGAGACTGTTTGGATTAGAAACAGGAAGAGAGATGACGCTCATGAAAGTTTCTTCAACATTTGGTGGAACAAAAATGTGGTAAAATGAGGTACAACGTAAAGACACTGAGACATTTTCCCAGACAAAGACAAAAGTCCCACAAAATTGTAGAGCAGCCATTTACAGACGTGGCATCTAACTCTCTACATAATAACATGCTCTGATCACCAACACATAGAGAGTAGCTACTTGTGCTTGTAAATCAACCCAACAAACCCAAGCTACAGTGTTTTGTAAGGTGCTCATGTGGAAACTGTTGACTTCATTAAAGTCAACAAATCCAACCACCAAACATTGGCTTCAAAAGAGTCAGTCATGCTAACAAATAAAGCTAACGAGTATTTAATCTCATAAAACACTCAGAAATGTTATACACAATTGAAAAATAACATTTTGTTCCAAGGCCTTTGACAGTAAGAAATCAACCTCAACCCAATCTTTTGTGACGTACCTATTGGTCCCATTGGCCCGGGGGGTCCAGGAGGGCCCGGAGGACCCTGTGCACCACTTGTTGAGCTTCCAGGGGGCCCACGAGGTCCAGGTTGGCCTGGTGAGCCGGGCTCCCCTAAACAAGGACAAATAAAGGGGGTAGCTGTCAGAAAAAGCTGTCGTAATTTTTAACAATCGTCTTAAGTTGCTGTATTGACAATAAAACAGACAAACTAATGTATTCATACAATATTAATACCTTTAAGTCCTGGTCCGCCATCAAACCCAGGTCGCCCTGGTCCACCTGGGTTGCCGGGGAAACCAGGATCTCCCTTTTGTCCAGGGAATCCTTTAGCTCCTGCTATTCCAGGTGGACCTGGAGGACCAGGAAGTCCAAAGCCTGCCTCACCCTTTTGGATGCACAGACAGGGAACAAATAAATGGTTAATTTCACTCAGTCAGGAGGGGAAGATATTAGATGTTCAGCAGACAGATTTATCCAAGACAGGAAAAATAATACTGGCCAAAATTAAAGATAATTTCAGTGCCTGTCAATCATTTGAGAAATAATTAGCCTACCTTTGGTCCAGGAAACCCTGGTGGCCCGGGGAATCCATCTACTCCCGGTCTCCCTACTTTTCCAGGTGTTCCCGGCTGGCCCGGAATACCTGGGAATCCTAGCGAACAGAGGTGAAAATTGATAACATCGGTAACTAGGAACCAAAAGCAGATGTAAAGATTCACATGAGCACTTTTATGAGGCAAAAGTAGGATGGGTACATATCCATTTACCCTTAACTCCTGCAGGACCTGGAAGGCCGACGCCCGGTTGTCCCGGTTCACCCTTTGGTCCAGGAAAACCTGGTGAACCAGGCTGTCCATCCGCACCTCGCGGACCTGATGAGAAGTAGCATTCTGTGCGTTATTGCTGTTGTTATGGTGAAGGTAAAGGCTTTACTTCACAGGTGAGGCATGCTACCTGGCGGACCGGGTGACCCTGGGTTGCCATCTATTCCTTTGGGTCCTGGTTGACCCTTCTCTGTGACCGTCGGACCTGGTTCACCTTTTACACCTACAAATTGAGGTAAACATTGATTTCCTAGAACATTTTCCTGATCTTAACAGCACAGCTGTTTGAACAGCCAATAAAAGATAATCCAATGCAGGGGCAGCTATATTTTTTAGAAGGGGTGTTCAGTGATGTACTTAGTTAAAAAAATTTAAGTAAAACCAGTTCATATGAGAATCAATATATTTGCTTCTTGCCTGGATTTCCGGAAGTGCCAGGTGCTCCTGAGTTGCCTTGAGCACCTTTCTCCCCTGGTGGACCCGGGACTCCATAGCCAGGGCCGCCTGGTGGACCTCTGTCTCCTGGGATGCCGGGCGGACCTGTGTCACCAGGGGGACCTCGTTCTCCTTTTAAGAGCAGAGACCCCTGCAGACCACAGGTACAAACATTTATGAAATGTCCGATGGAGGGTTGGATTTATGTAAAGGCAGCACAACATCCTGGAAAGTCACGCACAGGAGCTCCCTTGGGGCCAGGAGGCCCAGGTGCTCCGTCACGACCGGGTCGACCATCCAGGCCAGGCAGACCGGGTGGTCCAGGGAAACCACTGTCACCCTTCTCTCCTTTCACACCACCACCTCCGAAGGTATCTCCTGGCTCTCCTTTCTCTCCGGGGAAACCTGGAGCACCTACAGGACCAGGAACACCCTACAAAGGAAACAAAACTTCAAGGGATGGAGGGACGACAATGACATGTAATAGGAGGCAAAATAGGCAAGAGACTGACTCTTAAATTTGGGGAAAAAACAACAACAAAAAAACAACAACAACAAAAAATCCCTCACAGTTGTTTAGATTCAGTCTTGCTCAGATTTTAATGATCTTTTTTAAAATCAGTTTTAAACTTCTAATCATTCGACATTTCCAGATGCAGAAGCTCAAAACTCTTTTGCTCTTGCTTTCACCGTTGACTGCAAATTTTCAACAGCAACAATAATTACTGTAAGCAATAAAAATGAGCAAATGTTCTCTTAATGTTTGTCTGTAATGTGGTATAAAGGCTTTAAAAAAGTATTCCTCACAAATCTCCATTGAAATAAAGTTAGCAAATAGAGGTTTTATTTAACAGGGGACAAAAACTATCCAAACCATTGTGGTTGTACCAATTGCCCCAAACCTAAAAAAGGTTCTGCCACCCTTGAAAGCAACTACTGCCCTTCACTTCGACTGTGAATGAATTTTAGCTCAGTCTCCTATGCAGAAGTGCTGTCCTTCACCCTCATTGGAGGACTCTGAGTAAGTACGACTGGCCTGTTTAAGTTTTCGTCACAGCATCTCAATCAGATACTTTGAGTCCTTCATTGGTAAACTTGTCTGCCACTTGCCACGTCTTTGTTCTGCTGCATGTCGAAAAGATGGATGGACGTTGTCCTTGAAGATTTTGTGGTAAAGAGCAGAATTAAAGGTTTCATAAATTCCAACAAGTCAACCAGGTTCCCGAGGAAATGAAGTTGCTCCTTGGTATCACAATACGACCACCATGTTTGAGATGTAACAGCGTATTGCCGTCTTCCAAAGAGCTCCACTTTTGTTCCAGTTTCTCCAAAGTTCCTGAGAATCATGCAGAAATGTATCTGCGAACATGAGGCAGGCCTTTGTGTCCTTTTGATCAGCAGTGGGGTTTTGACTTTGAAACTCTGCCATGGAAGCCGTTTTTTGCCCAGGTTCTGACTTATTGTTGAATTGTTAGCAGTGACAATCAGGAGGCCCAATAAGATGTTGCTCTTGGTCCTTTTGCAGCCACCTGAATGAATCAATGATATGCTCTTGAAGTAATTTTTCGCAGACTGGACATTCCTAGCAAAGTTCACCACTGTTCCATGTTTTCTCCACTAGTAGATATTTGCTCTCCCTGTGGTTTGATTGCACCCCAAACTTTTGATAGATGACTTAAGTTAATTTATTTATATTCTGTTCTTGAATAGGCTTGACTCAGACATGGTGGGTTTGTTTTTGAGCTTTTAGCATGCTTCATGAGGTCAAATATGTTCTATTTAACCCTTCAGTGGTTTTAAGAGGCAAGGTAATTTGGACAACATGAGCTTTTTATCTTTTGTCTGGTGGGGTCGCACTGGCCTTGTGTGTGGTTTCACAACTTTTTTTTTTTTGTGTGTGTGTGTGTGTGTGTGTAGTTTCAGGAACTGATGGGTTAATATTTCACCCTCCTGTCTTCATGCTGTCCAACCGTGACATCTGCCGCATTTCTCCTGAGTGTCGAGCTATGACCGTGGGAGGGTTTATAGTGATTTCTTGATCCTCCTAGTTTGGCAGTAATCTTTTGTTTTGTTGTTGTGTACATGAGGTTGGTTTGGATAGTTTTTTCCCTTAACCCTTTGACACATAAACCAAAAGTATAAAAGTCATGCTTGTCAAAAACTACTCACAGGGGGTCCACTAAGGCCTGTTATTCCTTGAAAACCTGGTTCTCCCTTTACACCTGGCGGGCCAGGAGGGCCTGATAAAAATTAGAAAAATAAATGGAAGCACAATAGATTTAAAAACACTTTATGCTTTAATGTCTGGTTCAGAGTATGCAACAAACAGTGCAACTAACTATGGCTTAGCTTTTCACTACAGCTAACTAGCCATAATCGTCATATTTCCTTCTGCACACAGCTCACACACCAGCAAACGTCTTTTGATGTGACAATAATCACATTTTTACTTTTTTAAGATGCCACGAATTGGCATAATTCATTGACTTTTGCTTCTTTCCTTCATGATTAATCAAACGTCTGCTCCAAATGCTTACTTGCAGCTAGTTATGTAGCAAAGTAAGTAAGCAAAATATAATGCCCAAAATATGTTTTAGCAGAGCAGATCTGAACATTTTAAGTAACCAAATCGGCGGTAGTGACACACGAGGATGTCATAGATAAACAAGTAAATGAAAAATAAGATCCACAGACGTTACCTGCGAAGCCTGGCGGACCTGGAGGCCCTGGGGGCCCCGGTATAAGATTGCCTCCGTCAATGCAGTTCACACAGGTTTCTCCCTTCTGACCTGAAACATCGTGATCGTCGTCAGTGTTTTCTGTGCACAGCTGTACATTTCTTATGAACCACACGTAAATTGTCTAACCCTTTTTCATTACACATTTGATTTTACTTTGGTCATTTTTATAATTTATTTCAAACGGTCATTAGATTTTTATTTTTTTTACTTTGGTGGGGTATTTTTACAGTCATGAAAAAATCTGAATACCTTCATGTTTTGAATCCTTTAATATGGATTCTTAATAGAAAGCTAATATGCAAAATCAACTTTTTTTAGCTTTAAGTCATGATCTCATCAGAAACATACCTGTAGTGTTGCATTGATTCTTTCAGGCATGTTTGAGAAATCCTTGAATCTCACATGGCAACCACTGAGCTGTGCAAAATGCTTGCTCATGCAATGCACAGCCTATTTATGCAAAACGCCTTCTTGGAGCTTCAGTCCCTAGTTGAGCTCCCGCCCCACAAAGTACTCCTTTCCTGCACCTCCCCAAACTGCTCCCACAGACTAGTGGCAGCAGCAATTAGCAAACACCTGCTGACCTTATTCTACAAACTACCTCTCAGTCCAACGTTCCTGAGAATAGTTGTAAACGGCATCAAAGAGAAGCACTGTTGCTGAAAGGGGAGAGTTGGAAATGGTAGGAACTTCTTAAAGAGACAGAGTCCAATTTCAGCTATGTTGCAATGTGAATTTTTTTTAAGTTGCTGTTTATCTAT